GCAGGGGGATCGCCGAAGGAGTCTGTGACCCCATGTGCAGCCTGTGCTGCAGCAGGTTCCTGGCAGGACCTGTGGTCCCATGGAGAGAGGAGCCCAGGCTGGAGCAGGTTTGCTGGCAGGACTTGTGACCCCACGAGGGATCCAGGCTGGAGCAGGCTGCTCCTGAAGGACTGCACCCCGTAGGAGGCACCTACGCCAGAGCAGTCTGTGAAGAACTGTAGCCCCTGGGAAGGACATTGGCAAAGTTCATGGAGAACCGTCTCCAGTGGGAGGTACCCCACGCTGGAGCAGGGGCAGTGTGAGAAGGCCTCCCCATCAGGAGGAAGGAGCAGCAGAGATGCGTGGTCAACTAACCATAACCCCCATTCCCTATCCCTCTGTGCCACTGGCAGGGAGGAGGGAGAGAAAACTGGGAGCAAAGCTAAGCCCGGGAAGAAGGGAGGAGTAGGGGGGAAGGTGTGTTAAGATTTGGTTTTATTTCTTACTACCCTACTCTGATTTGATTGGCAACAAATTGAACTGTTTTCCTCAAGTTCAGCGTGTTTTGTCCATGACAGTAACTGGTGAGCGATCCCTTCCTGCCCTTATCTTGACCCAAGAGCCTTTCCTTATGTTTTCTCTCCACTGCCCAGCTCAAGAGGGCAGAGACAGAGCAGCTTTGGTGGGCACCTGGCCTCCAGCCAGGGTCAACCCCCCACACTAAAAAGTGTTTGCAAACCGCTCAAAGAAGACAGAAGAAAGCTGATGTAGCGCAAGAGTTAGAAGTAGGGACTGCTACTTGATTTTTCCAATCTTCTTCAAGAGATGAAGGGCAAGAGAATTGAACTAAAAACCATTAAATGGAAACTAATCTATCCCATCTCAAACACAAAAGAAAATACTGTTTCGAGTTTGGTTTTTGCGCCTGCCTTTTGGTTATGTGTTAACTGGGGAAATGGACACAACGTATGCAGGGCGTACAACGTGGTGTCACGTTTACTCTACCTGTCTCTGGTGAGTCTTTGTTCGCCGGTGGAGATGAAGGAATCTGTCACAATCGGTACATAAATTCCCACAGACATTACACAGAATGATGGCAGCCGTTTCACCATCGTCGTGGTTATCACACATCGGCTGAAAAATAGGGAAAAAAAAGGGAAATATATATATTTTTTTAAAAAAGTAAATCCCTCATTTCCTTTCAGCATCTGTTTTCATTCTTCCCCAGTCATCCTATCAAACTAGTAAGGGGGGGAATAAAAAGCTTGTTTAGACAATTAATTCTGTCTTTAGAGTAAACAGTATCTAAACAATTAGAATCATAGA